TTTTGCATAGTAACTGATCAAATATAATTATAGTTTTAACTTTTGCAATTAAATTGCTGTTATCTCTATCTTGTAGTTGTTTCTTAAAGAGTTACTCTGCTTTAGCGGAGGATCTAAACTCCTTTACATGTACTTGCATTTCTCATCTTGCGTGACATTATTACGTTCTTTTCGTAACACAAGGTAAATCAGTCACACAAGAGTAAACATCCGTCGTTTTAGAAAATGATATTTAGACTTGTTTTTTTAGAGAACGTAGAGCAAAAGCGAACATTTCGAAAAACAAAAAAATTCTGCTGCAATCCTGAATGTGCATTTCGTTTAAGATTTTAATGACATCTGAAGGTATATTGGCGGAGAAGAGAGGAGATGCTTTGGGAAACGTACCCATCAAGGTTTACAGTAAATAGAAATAAAGTCAAACCAACCCAAAGGCGACCATCTGTGTACTTTCCAAACCAATGTGGTGCTTATAAATCACAGATAAATTTCTCGTCTAACAATTTAGCTGCACGAGACAATTTGGGACTTTTACAAGGTAGTCACATTTCAGACTCAAGATGGTCACTTCCCGGGAGTCACTTTACACAAGGTGGTCCTTAAGAGAGGTTTGACTGTGTTCAATACTTCAGACATGCAATGTACTGTACCAAGATTATCTTCAGTGACTTTTCAATATTTTTTACTTTTATTATTTTTTTTTTCAAAATGTCGTATGTATGATATGGAAGTTCAACAGATCAACGCCAATACATCATGTCCCAATCAGTTTAAACGTTTGGTCCGTCAATCAGCCAATCACAGTCCATTGGTAAGCGAGTGAGTCAGGCAGTCAGTCAACAGTCTCTTGGCTGTCAATTAGTCAGTCAGTCAGTCAGTCAGTCAGTTAACAGGCCACCAGTCAATCAGTCATTCAGACAGTCATGAATAAGTCAATCACAGTTAGAGATTCAGTTAGTCAGTCAGTCAGCAGTCTGTCCGCAGTCAACCAGTCAGTCCCCTAGCAGTCCATCAGTGAGTCAGTCGCAGTCCTGAAAAAGTCAGTCAGTCAGTTATGAGTCAATCATTCATTCAGTCAGTGAGTCCGTCAGTCAGTCAGTCAGTAAAGAGTCAATCAGTCAGTCCTGAGTCAATTAGTGAGTCAGTTAGTCATGAGTCCATCAGTCAATCAGTCAGTAATGAGCCAATCACGTGCTCAGTCATAAGTCAATCAATTGGTCAGTCAGTCCATCAGTCAGTCAGCAGTCAGTGGTCAGTCTGTCTTAATCCATTAGTCACTTTGTCAGACAGTCAGTCATGCAATCAGTCAGTCAGTGAGTCAGTCAGTCCATCCGTCCATCAGTCAGTCCTTTTATGTTTGAGTTATTGTACATAGTTTGGATACTGTATTTCTCTCACTTTTACCTGGAATTCTCCCTCATTGTCAATGTATAAAACAAACAGGATAGACCACAGCTACTTTAAGAACGTCAATCAGCCAGTCAATTGGTACTGCAGCCCAATTACTCACTAAGTTATACAATCGCCAATTCAAAAATTTTCTTTGAAGGTGAAAATGCAATCTTATTCTGAAAAAAACATCCTACTTTTGAACATCACTTTTGGCTGCAGAAGATAAATTTAACAATTTCAAGGACGATTGGTTTAAAATAGTCTGATTTAATAGCTTTTCTTACTCATTGTGTAAATAATCAAGGCACAAACTGCATGTCTGAAGTCAAATAATCAGTGCGGAACTTAGCTTATTCAAGAGTTTTGTTTACCCGGTTCACCCAAGAGTTGGATTGCAAAATAGAACATGCAGCCCTTCTAAAGATAACTGCTTGAAGATTTAGTTCACTTTCTCCCTGTTGGCATCTGATCTGGAAAAGAAAGAAAGCTTATTTGTCAGGCTAAGAAAGAATTTTATAGAAGTTTTTATAATTATTACCATGTCCTTAACATTGCAGTTAAGAGGGTCATACAGGATGGGGTCTCTGGCTCGGTTCACGAATAGAAAAAATAGTGAATTACAGATCACGGATATCGAAATTTCATTTTCCCGAATCAAGAAAATAAGCAGGGAGAGTACTCTTGGTAAATTTGTAATAAGGTAATAACCTGCTCTTACGCTCTAAAGAGTGTTACTACTGTAGGTCATATGACATTTTTGAAAATCAAGTGAAGGACATCAAGGAAAGCTCTCTGTTACTTGGTAGTTGCAGATGCCTTACAAAACGTAACAATAATTATACAGAGGTCACATTTGATGTTTTCAGTCTGAATAAATCTTCTGGAGGGCTTGCATCTCAAAATCACATAGAATAGAGTGATTAAATCACGAATATCGGTTGATAATTTAATTTCTTCACGGGTCATGCAAAACCTTCAAGTCACAGATCATGAAGAATAATTTACTAAATTCACATTTCATGGAAAATAAAATCACGAGAATAAGAGGGAATTTAGTCAACACAATGTTGATGTCTTGTTAACAAAATCTCAAATAGTTTGTGAATCAGTCAACTAAGAGGTCAGTTAGTCAGTCTGCCTGTCTGTCTGCAATTCAGCCAATCATTTTATGTTAGTATATTCAGTAGCCAGTTTTCAGTCAGTCAGTCTGCCTGCCCGCCTGCCTGTCTGTCTGTCTGCAATTCAGCAAATCATTTTATCTGTTAGTATATTCAGTTGCCAGTTTTCAGTCAGTCAGTTACATGTAGTCACTCAATCACCTTATTTGTTCTTTACATTTACTTAACAAAGTGTCCAAGGGAGGCACTCATTGCTACTTATTTCATTGCCATAGAAGTTCACCTGGTCAGTATGTCAGATAGTTTACATATCAGTTTATCAATGAGTTAACCTGTTAGTCAGTTTGTTTGCTAATCGATCACCATGCTAGTACTACTAGTTGATTTGTTATCTTAAACAATTACATGTACACAGGCAATGAATAAATCAGTTCAGAGACCAACCAGAAGTTTAATAGGATATTTTGTCAATAATATTTATTGGGATAAAGTTATAGTGTGTTTACTGAGAGGTTGATTGGCTGGTTGATGGACTGGCAGAAAGACTGACGAGCACTTTTTTAAGTATACTTGGGAAATTTTTAAGTACACTTGTGAAGTGTGTCAACGTGTTGTTTTCTATGTGCTTCTCTTGTGTTCTTTGAAGTTCCCATGACATGCTTACTTGCATATATGTAGAACTCAACAATGCACTTAGGTATTTTACAGTGCATTTATTGAAACCGGGGCCACCCAGACAATGAAAACCAATCAGATGGCAGAACTGAAACATTAGATTCCAACATTTTCAAATCCAGCCAATCAAATGTCTGGTTCAAAACAATGAAATCTCAACTTGTTCATTGTGGTGCTTACACTACTATTGTCAAACTCAAGCCGTTAGTACTTTCGTGTTAGAAAATATTGTGTTGCTTTACTTTGGATTTTACATTGACAAGTGTGATACACTCATGAAATTGACAGTTTTCTACTGTGAACGTACAGACATACAAAATGTCACTTTACAGTTGTTGTTTAAAATCCTAGAATAACAGATTTTGACATTTTTTACAGAATAAATTCCGCTCTCGTCATCTGTGCGTGTTTCTATTTTTACACAGCTTTCGGTTATTTACCACGCACTCCTCGGAAAAACCAGCGCTTTCACTGTCTCGGCAGCTGTACATTGCAGAGTTTGGGCTCCCTTTCTGGGTTATCAGTGTATTGAAATAATATCTTCATGGAAAATTCAAACGAATTTTTTTTTTCGGCATTGTAGTATCAAAGCCTCAGCGTGTAAAATCACTCAGCCAAAAGCAAAAGACGATGGCACCAAACCTCCCCCGGATGGAAAAATCGAAGATATTGCGAACAAAGAATTCAGGTGACAAGTCCATTTTTGTATCAAGTTAACTTTTCATTTCTACTGCTTGAAGTTTGCTTTCAGCTCCTTTCAGTTACATCGAAAATAATCCCTTTCCAATTTGTACATATTTTCAAACCTGTACACATGCGAAACTACTCAGAGGCCATTTGAAGGGTTTCTTCTAAAAAGCAGCGACAATATTCAAACCCTACACCAAACACGCTGGTGGCGATATATATTTATGAGTGACACTCTTAAGCAGCTTTTCTTTCCATGTATTTTCTGAACCAAACAACCCATAGAAAGCGGGGCAGCATATAATTCTCCTTATGTGTAAATCTGCAAGCATGTGAAACTACTAATGGTTTGAGCTTAACAATTATTTCTTAATTGCATATGTGTAAGCATCACAAGGAACAAGTTGAGATTTCATTGTTTTGTATCGGACATTTGATTGGCTGGATTTGAAAATGTTGGAATCTATTGTTTCAGTTCCGCCATCTGATTGGCTTTCATTGTCTGGGTGGCCCCGGTTTCAATAAACGTACTGTAGCATACTAAGTGCATTGTTGTGTTACAGTATACATCTATACAAGTAACCACGTCATGAAAACTTCAAACAACACAAGAGAAGCACATAGAAAACAATGAGTTGACGCACTTCACAAGTGTACTTCAAAATTTCCAAGATCTAATCAGTCTTTCTGCCAGTCCATCAACCAGCCAATCAACCTCTCAATTGGCCAGTCAATTACATGTAGTTAATCATTTAAATGGATTAAAGCCCTGTTTCTAGTTTATCATTGCAAATTTAAAATGGAGTGCAAAAGAGTAATTCAGTGCAATTTCAAGGTTACCCCAGGTGAAAAAGGCCGCAGTGAAAAAGAGAAGACAATTTGTCACATTTCAGAGCCTTGTAAATTAGCACAAATTTCAAAAATTTATTACAGTGGTATCTGGCAACTTTGAAAAAAAAAAACAGAGACAGCCATAGTCTTCTTCAACATAAAGAGGGGAGGATTACACAATTACACAATTTTGCTGTACAAGCCAGATATAAATGTATGCATCTAACAGTGACTTAGCATGGATTCTTGGTTCTCCTACATTCTAACAAAAAGAAAACAATGTCAATGAAAAATTTGCATGCAAGCATCGCTGGGATGTGTACATTTGTACACAGTCTGTTTTGCAGACTGTTTCTCCTCTTTGTCCACAGATTCTTGAGTTTAATAATGGCAAGAACGAGACATGCTGCTTTTAATTTTCTTTAACTCTTTTTTCCCCAGTGCAACCTTGATTTGACAAACATCTATATAACAAAGTACTTCGTGTAATGAACGATTTCCCTGGCCCCAGTAATAGTACAATATATGGAAAAGAACAAAACCTCGTTTTAGCGAACATTTTTTGCCAGTCCCTTGGCCCTTCATTAAATCAAGGTGACACTACCTTTCAAACAAGCACATGCATAGGATTGTTAAAAACTTAATAGCTACCAATAAGTTAAAGAATTCTCACAATCATTTTAGGAAAAGTCATGCAAAACTGACAAAGAAAAAAAAACATCTACATGGTTAATTACTTGGCTTTCTCGTTCACAACTGATCGTGAATGGCTCTTTTTGTAAACCTTAGCACAGTGCTGGAGAAATTTTTATTACGTAGCAATTCAGTCACAGTAATCATTATAATTATAATTTGTATACACAAATAACCTGACGACTCAATCTGGAGGGCTCATACGTGAGATAACAAGTGTGCTTTGCAGTGCATCATGGGGTTAAGTCTGGAGAAGCTATTATAGAAAGCAAAACATGTTTTAAAACAAACATAGCCTGCAAACAAAATCTTCATAACTAAAAGCCAAGTCATTTTGGAGTTCTGTCATCATGTCCGATCATAATGTAACATAATAGTCAGAAAACTTTCAAAATTTGGTTGCACAAGGTCCAATGACCCACTGTTAATTCTAGCAATGTTAAGGGCCCATTAACCAATCTTTTCGAGCTGTTGCTAGGGAAAATTTAATCTCATATAACGACGTCACTTTTAGCTAGTTCTGAGTTATTTCATGTGTTTTAACATTTTCATGATCTGTAACACTAGTGATGACGTCATCAGGCCATGCCCATGGTCATGTGACTAATACAGAAAAAATGCAAAGGCTCCCAGACAAATTACTTTCTCGGGATTTTTTTCATTGATTTAATATTCTAAGGGCCTGATTACATGGCGAATTTCAGCCCGGGCTGAAATTTCAGCCTGGTTAGCCGGGCTGAAATCTCAGCCCGGCTTCTGAAACAAATTCTCATGAAATCAAATTGGTGATTACATGGAGAAGGACTCAGCCCGGGCCGCAATTCAGCCCGGGCTGAAAAGTCTGGAAAAACCTCAAGTAATCGAATCGGAATTTCAGCCCGGGCTGAAAGGCAGGAAATAAGATGGCTACCGCTACGAAGTAGAAGCGATCTCAGTGGAATAAAGGTGATAAAATAGAGAATCTCTCTAATTTCAAAGCTTGGAATATAAGAACATCGAGACAAAGTTAAACAGCACGAGGCTGTCAGGGAGGTCATGAACTCGGCAAGCTTGAGGACATATTTTCTTTCTATAAAAGTACGTCTTTCCGGCTAAGAGACAGGTTTCGTTTCAGTTCCATCATCATTGTAGGGTGTTACTATCCCAAAAAGTTAAAAATTGAGCGCCAACAAAAGGTCAAACTACAGGGAGAAGCAATGCGCCTATTTTTACGATTCGTGTTCTCGGCGCCATTTTGATCCTCTGGAGACTTTTCGCACACAATTTCATATTTGGCGCCGAGGCTAATATTTCAGCCCGGGCTGAAATTCGTCAAATTTGATTTCATGAGAATTTGTTACAGAAGCCGGGCTGAAATTCGCTATGTAATCAGGCCCTAATTCAAATCCTCATTACGCTATGCATCGATTTTGTTTCATTTCTAAAAGGTCAGATTTTGAGAGCATTTCAAAATATTGAAAAATTTGTAATTTTTTCTGAAAAAAGCATGATTTCGAAAAAGAAATACATAGCTATGTTGCCAACTTTGGCTTTAATCGAAATTCGTCGAAAAAGGCTGGATTTAATGACAAACCGCGTTTCCTTTCGCATTTAAAGAAACCGGAAGTGCGCCCGATATATATTGGAAGTTACCCTATCAACGCGTGCGCAATTTACACTACCAGCGCACTTTGGTAAGATCAAACAAAGCCACATGGAGTTAGTTTTTCTCTTTCTYTTGCTCTTGTTTTTCTGTCTTTCTCTTATTTTGTCTTTGCTTGTACTTGTTTTACTTTGCATTTTGCGAAATACAAAGAAAAACATTTAAAATGTTAGCGAATTTGCAAGTTTTTGAGTTGTTTTTATTTTCCGTGTTCAGACTGACGTAAGTGACCGGAAGTGAAATTTCACCTCCTTAGCAACGCGCACGAGCGCGTGCATGAATCGGTTAATGGGCCCTCAACATCTTTTAACTACATTGTATTCATACATGTAGTAGCATAAGTATCGTTTTGTTAGTGATATCGTATTGTAAGTAGTTTTGTATTTCTTTAAGTTGTTTTAGTACTGTATTGTTAAGAGTATAAGTATTACTTTGTAATTAGTATGGTTTAATTAGTGTGTTGTAATTTGTTGTGCATGAAATATATAAATTAAAAAAACACCAAGTGATTAGAAATGATCCCCCAGATTAAGAAGCCTTCTCAAAGTCCTTGAGTTATGATCTTGAACACAGCACTTTACTCAAACAGTAACTTACTTTACCAAGGACTATAATGGATACCAGCAACCTACAGTGGAACCCTGTTAATATGGTCACCAAAAGGCCATGAAAGTTTGGCCGTATTAACGGGTTGACCATATTAACGGGGTAGGGGCAAATTTCATGACTGGTCTAAATTGAGCGACGTCTTAACGGAAGTAACAGACATATCACAATTGCACTTCTGAGCAACTGTTTTTTTTTTATAAACATCTGGAATGCAGATAAAATTTTTAAAAAATCAGTTCATACAATATTTAGATTGGAAAGAGGAACATACATGTAACCCTCACCCAGAGGATCACACCATATGAACTACTGATACTCCTAGGTTTAAACACGAATGAGCGACACAAAAAATGTTCAAACAAGAAATGAGCGAAATCTTTTTTAAAGCCAGATTGACCAGACCGCTTTTAGAGAGACTGCCTTTGAACAGTCAAAAGTGCAAAGTAAACAAACACCTGAACACAACCCAACCAAAAAAACAGATTGGCTGGAAGCACAGACAGACGCCTGCACGCAATTAATAGACACCCCCTGCCCAAACAACCAAACTGAATGAACAGCAGAGAAATGAATGCAAACAAATGCAAGCCCAAACACCCCCAAACCAAACAAACAAACAGCTGAGAGAACAGAAATCATCTGTATTATAAAACTCCTTTTAAACTTGAATAAAGTAGCAGGGCTCAACCTTTCGTCTTGGCGGTCATGTTCACCGGTCACATTCGATTGTATTGAAAATGAAATAAATAATATTAAAGTTTCCCTGCTGTTTAGTTATTTCAGTTGTTATCAGTATGTAGCGAGTCACTGTGTATTGCGGAACTTTTTTTATCTGAAATCCTGGGTGAAATGCAACTACATGCAGAACCGTTGGTTACAATTCATGCATTGAAGACAGATATCGCTGTTTGTGCATACCTGAGTAAAATGCCTGGTTACTAAGCTTTTCTCAATGAAGTTTTCAGATCAAGATCTCACAAGTACACCAGAAATCATTTGGAGATGCCGAACAAATTTAATGTGTACGATAATGATATTTAATGTGTTACGGGTTAGTCTTACAGACAGAGTACTTATTAATACACATAAGCTTACTTTTATTGTTGACAATGAGTGCTATAAAGCTCTAAGCAACGACTTTTTTGGAAATATATACACCTGTAACGCCAGTTTTGGTTCATGGTCCCCTGTTTTAAGAGTTATTTATCTTATAAATTTGACCGGCCAGAACTGATACGTGACCAAGCTAAAATGAATTTGGCCAGTCATCGTGTCCGGAGACTCTCCGGAAATTATTTTGAGCCCCGAGCAGAAAATAGTTCGTGCTGAGAGAAAGATGTAACAAGCTGAACCAATAGCAATGATAGCAAGAAAGGCTGCTACATGTATCTGAAAGTAACATGCGTTGTTACACTCAGAACTTAATTGTGACATGTTTGAGGCTTGCTAAAAGAGTTTTGATGTAAGCAAGTTCTTCTTTGTCTTTTTTAAATTCCTTAGTGACTTTGAGCTCATCATGTACATGTACTACATAATGCAGTATTATATACTTTAGCTGACTTAAAGGTGGTGAAGGCTAAATGTAAACACTCCTTGGAATGGAGTAGGCCTCAAGAGTGAGACAAGCAAAAGTCTGGGAAGGCTGGTTTCATGCTCCAAGCTACATGCAGTCAAGATTGAAACAGTTCCTTGTCAGGTGACTGGGAACAGAACTGAACAGATGTCAAACACTGTAGATTGAAGTGTATATTTAACAAAGATAATAAATTATCTTCACACCTGAGCAACTGATATCATGAGCTTTTTTGGTCAAACTTCACAGCAGCCATTCTGACTGGTATTTTCCATCTAAGGGTAGAATCTGAAATAAAATAAGTAAATAAAATATTAAAATTCATTCAGAATGAGAAAGAAATGTATTTACAAGGCACTTGTTCTAAAGGCAGAGGAATAGGCTTCTAAACACAAAAATGACTAAACGTCATTCAAGTGCTTTAGTGACAGCTACATGTATCACATGTGATCACTGATGGAAAATAAAGATACAGTGACAATTAATATACAATACGACAGAGCATCAGTCATTCAAAGTAATAAGCCAGCACTTTTTTCATTTCTTTGGTTATGTCGATTTCTCTGACAAGTTCTTGCATCAACTTATTTGTGAAATGTGTTGCAATTTAGGCTACCAGAAGAGAAAATTTTTAAGTGTTAATAATAGAATTACTGACAGCCATTTTTTTTGTTAGCGGTATGATTAAGGGACAGTTTCCTGCAATTGAATTTTCATTTTAGAGCGATTTTTATAGCCTCAATGCAATTTTTTTTACATGACAAAAAAAGGAGATTTGTCAACACAAAATCATTGAGGTCACAATATTTTAAATGACCTGTAACACATGCTGTGTTTTTGAACCTGTTGGGCAGCAGCATGTAATTCACCAACTGAAGAAGCTAGTCATAAAAGGGGATAAGTGACGATTTTGGTTGCTTTTCTTTTTTCTTGCTCCAAATTAGCTGAAGTTTTGCATGTGGTCTTCA